GTTAACATAGATGAAGTTCAGTATGAAAGTAGTTGAAGATCCAAGCTAACTCATCAATGGAAAATTTGGATCATAACCTAGTATAGTTTCGGCTTTTCTGATTAGACCAGTGGTTCTTGTTTTGTCACGGTTTAAATATGAGCTTGTATATGTGAACAGTTTTATTTTTTTAATTGCTATAGCTGGACATACTTAGTGAGGAAAAAGGTTCTAAGAAAACAATAAAAAACCTGCTGAATTTTCCTGCAATGTGCTTATTTTGAAGTGGGAAGGAAGTGAACTGACATGGATAACATATGAACCTACTATATCTCCTTGATGTGGATATTAAAGGAACCTTGAAAATAGTTTATGGGGAAGTTGTTGGAGGCTTCTAATTTTAAATTCTTAACAGGAAATCATTAAACTGTAGAGGAGCCAACATAACAGACTGTTGCTCTAAAACAAGAGCTAAATGCAGAGCATTCACATGAACTTGTCAGATCTTTTTTTAATGCTGGTATTTTTTTTTCTTTCATGTTTACTGCAACCCAGATAAATACATTTTCATTTTTGTATTCTTCATATACATCAGTTCAGTAGTCACACTGTGGATGAAATGTTAAAGCAATGCCGTTACGGTTGTACCTCAGGGAATATGAAAAAACTCAGATTATAATCCATCATACCCAGACGTTGTTAACTCCTTGCACGGTCAGGTCCTGTGCTCTTTCATTGGCTAGGGAAAAACCTTTTAACATGGGAATACTGTTCGGTTTGATTTTTCTTCTTTTACGTGGGTTTCTTATGCTTTATCTGAGACTATTGCTGAGATGACTGACACATTGCGCATAGGCTACGCAAGAGACATAAGAGGTACGATAACCTTTGGTCACTATCAGCTTGGCTTGTTGAAGCTTACATAGGTGCTGGAGGAAGGAGAAGGATTATTATGCGGCTGTGAGCAATAAGACATGAAGGTTAGTCACCGAAGTCAGCTGAGGTGCTTTACATATTAAGAAGGCTTTAAGAACGTAGGTTTGCCAAAGCCAGATGGGTAGTGCTGCTTTCTGCTGTTCTGTGATTAATAAGTTTGTGCCCAGGTTATGAGCTTTTTAGGTATCTCAGCTATTGATCATTTTGTAGTTTTCGTCTGTCAGAGAAAATTAATGGCTCTTACAAATATAACTTTGTGTAACTTTAAATAAAGCATGCTACTAGAAAAGAGGTGGCAGGATGCTGCCCCCCCAGCACTGGCTTGTGTTGTGGAATTAAGGTGAAGTTGAACGTACCTGTCTCGGTTCTTTTTATTGTCTGATGCAGCTGAGGGACAGGAATACTGCTGTGAAAAATGTTAGTGCCTTTGTGAGCCTTCTTCCTCGCCACTCCTGCTGAGAAGGTAGACTCGTTTATTCACTTGGGTGAGTGTAGACCTATGAAATGTTTAATTTCAGATTCACAGGAGGTGTCATTTGAGGAGCAATGCAGTGCATTGGTGCACAACACTTTCTCTTGGTTCTTCTGTTTCTGCTACAATGTACCTCTCTGTTCCACAGTATTTGAGCGTCGGGCGCCTGACCTCATGCGTCTTGTTCCACTTTGTGTGTTTCTTTTTCTTCTTTTTGCTTTTTCAGTCTTTGAGCCTGTGGATAGGTAATTCTCAAAGATACCCTAGTGCGATTGCTGATGGTTATATCTAACAGATTAATTGATGCGTTAGCAAGCATTAGAAAGTAAAGTAATTAATGGATGTCATGTCACTTCTGATGTCAGCTAACCTAACAGATGCATCTGGGTTTAAACTACAGCTGCTTAATCTATTTTGGCTAAAGATGGGGTCTTTCTTTTTTCAAAATGTAATTAATTTGATTTAGCTTAAGCCATTTGAGAATTTTTTTTAAATTACAGTTAAAAGAAAAACTAAAAACTTTTCATCCACAAAAGAAATTGTGGCCTTTAATTTTGATAAATGATTTGAATTAGTTGAACCAGACCAAGCAATAATAATGCCTGTACAGCCACTCTGAAGTGGATTTATTTCAATAACTGTTAGCCAAAATGAGAATAAGCTATCGTCAACTAAATATCTGATTGTATTTGGTTTAGAAACATTTCACATTAAATGTTTGTAGCTCATAAAAAAAAAAAAAGCTTTTAATTTTGATGAGCCACTTAACCTAACTTCAGAATCTTCTGTCTCCAAAATAGCTGGGGGACCGCGGGCAGTTTCTGCTTAGCATTTGGTTCCTTTAAGTGTAAAAACAAGAAAAGAACTCCCCCATTTTTATATATGAGAGTGAGAGGTGCATGAAAAAATGCTAAATTGCCCTTCAGTTATTGCCTATTAGTTAGGTTCTGGAGTGTGGAAACTGCAGGGGTATTTACCATCAAACTTCATCTTTATTGAAGTTTTCCTCCCTGCATCTTTGACTTTTATGTACATGTTCCTGTTTCGGCAAGCGTCTGGTTTAGTTGAATCGAAGTTTGTTGTGAACTAAAGGACTTCAGGAGAAAATTAGGAAATATGGTTTTAGTTGCTGGAGGATATGTGCTGGTTTTGTGCCCTGTAAATCTTGAAGCACTTTTGTTTTCCAACGGTGGTTTTGGGAATGTAGTTATTGTGTGCAAAAACATCTTTAATGTATTCTAATTTAATTAAATTTGTGAATGTAGGCATGATTTATGTATGGTGCTATTGTCTTGACTGTAAAAGTTAGTATTGACACAAATGAGGCACTTTATTCCACTTGAAAAGGCAAAAGCAATACTTGGGCATAAAAAGAAGAGACGGAAATACCTTGGAGTTTGAAGAGGAGTTTCTTCCATCGTAACTAATGCTTTCTTTCCCCTTTGTTTCCTTAACTTCTTTACAAATACCAGACTACCTAGAATATCTTTATGTAAAGCGTAGGAGTCAATCTGTTTGTTTCTGTTCTGGAGTAGCCTATGATTTTCCACTCGAAGTTGTTTAGGAAAGTATTACCTATATTGAGTGGTACTAATCCTTACACAATAACATCTCTGGCTACATTTATTCAGCTCTGAAATAGGGATATTGTACTTCTTGGAAGTAATAGACTTCAGTTGTGCTGATGGAGACATAGATCTGACAATATTATTTTGTCTTTTTTTTTTTTCTTCAATAGTTTCAAGTCAGTTTCCTTGTTTTCTGGCTACTTTGTATTAAAAAGAAATTGAAAAAAAATCTGTTCACCCCCTTTTATGTGTGCTGTGATGTGGATGGCAGTGGATCTGCAGGCCTGGCAATTGACTTGCCATGCTTTTATGTTAATTAAAAGGGAAATAGGGATATGTTGTGGTGGTTTGGATTGTATAAAGGTCAAATTAGTCCTTGCCTCCTTTATGCACCTTTAAAGCATACATTTCATCATATATGTCGCAAATGTACTTGTATAAAATACTCTGTTATGAAACTTAATGGACAGATTTTTAAAGCAGGGTTTCTCAATTCTATATTTGGCTGATGATCTGATGATTGATCTGATGGTATAAACACCTGGAAAATAGGAAGGGATAGTTATCTTGCTGGATTAGTGTGGATTAATTAATTAATGTTTGTAACAGGTTTTCTAATCCCTAGGTGCTCTAGAAATTCAAAGCTTTGTTGATATATTTCTTATTTTTAAATACTGTTGACTTTAACGTGGTTAATGGAAGGAGATCCAAAGTGCTTGCAGTACTTAAGCCAAACAATTATCTCTATTTTACTGTCAGTAAAATGTATTTTTGCAAAATTCAGTAACGGTTTTAGCTGTTCTAAGCGTGTAGTGGGAAGGGGCTCTGGGAGTTGAAAGTGGTGGTAGATCACAAATAAAACGGTGTCTAGAATTTCAGCTATGAAAATGAAGTGTACAGAACCCTCCAGTATGCAGGGAACATCTTAAAAGTCTGATGGTCATAAGCGTAAACACTGCATCAAGCACGTCCCGCAGGATGCCTAATTCCAGGGAAATCCCCGCTGGGAATCCTTATTGTCCAAGCGGGAAGCGGGGCCTTGGGCGGGCGCGGGGGGGCTGGAGTAAGTGCTGGGATTGCTGCAGTAACGTGGGGAGTCCCGTGCTTCCAGTTAGCAGCTGGCGTCTTACTTGGGGCTAGTGAAGTGTGTGCAGGGCTCCGCCTGTCGCGGGGCCGCCTGTCGCG